TATTTGACAATTTGAATCATCCTATGGCCGAAAGAAACAACTAAATGCTCTGTAAGACAGAAAACAGTACGAAAAATAACTTTCCTTGATATGCAAAAAGCTTGCCACCAAGAAATTCCATTTACTGTCATATATTCTATGTCATGTGAAATAGACACACTTAAGCATGATGGATCATTCGGACAATGATTATTAGCCTGTTTTAAGAACAAAAAACTACTCAATCAGACAAGTTTCAGAGTTGTAGTTTTCCAATTCAATTAGCTTTGGATACACTTGTTTCTGTCGCAAAAATTCTTTGGTTCATATACTGCATCCTACTATTATTCATGGAACTAGCACTTACTTGCTATCAGAACTGTACGTTGGCCATTCTCAGGTAATGTCGCCAAATTCTTTCCACTATGTTGTGCTATGCATAAATATCTTCTTGCATGTGGAAATTTTTTACACTCCATAAAAGCACTGCATATCTAGCATAAATTTATGATAACATGAATACATAAACCGAGTTGCTATTTTCTTTGTATTAGATAACAATCATATGTGATATTATTTGAAAAGCAATTGATGAAACAAACAAATTTAGAGGAAACAATTGAAATTAGAGCTTTCTATGCATTAATCTTCTTAAATAATGTCTCTTATTTACACAAGAATTTGTAGCAGTCCATGCCATTAACGATTGATACCTAACAAATTATTAGGTCTAGAATTCACCTCTATTAGGACCAAGAAAACACACGTACAACAGAAAATAGTCTCCAACTTTATCCATATATCTATCTAATATCTACCACACACGTTGCATCTTTGACAACATGTCACCGATCAGAAACTCAGACATATGGCGATAAGTTTTATGTGTCATATGAATTCCATCCAAATGTATGTACTTTTCAGGCTCCCGACAAACTGGAACTCCAGGTGTTCCGCACATCCGCCGGCCATCATAGTTGTAAATCCCTCCAATCCCACAACATGATTTTAATAAAGATCCTCGGTCGAATCCAAGAAACAGAGCACGAGCAGGAACTGATTCCAAAGCCCCGTAGTAATCAGCGTAGACAACAACCATATTTGGATTATCCCTTTTCAACTTTTGCCTCAAAGAATGAAGAGCCCTTTGAAGATAGTTGTTGTGGTACCTTGCAAACTCGTTTACCTCTCTCAGGCATCCCATCAGATCGTATGCTTCTGGATCACGATTCGCAAAACAAGTCAAATAAATTGGGATGCAACCAATAGGAAGATTTCTTGGAAGCACAACACAAACAGCCCCAAGTCCAACAACTTCTTTTACTCCATTGATTGTCGCACTTACGACGTGAGGAACATAAGTCCTAACCTCTTGTATTGATTTTACATTGAAGAAAGCATGTTTATAATCATTACCTCCGATTTCTCCCATCATTATTAAGGATCTTTGAAGCCTAGCAGCACAATCCGATGGGGAACGACAAACAGATTTGAGATGATCTTTAAACCATTGCATCTGAGCACTGAGAGGAGTATTGGAGATAGGAACTGGAATATTTCGGGCTGGGAAAAATGAGGTGTCGAGAGCTGTGCTCTCCGCTACAGCAAAGTCTACTCCCCGATTGAATACTCCAGTTCTTTTCAAGTAGAGATTCAGGAGAGGAAGATTAAGAGCTCTGGAGATGAAATCAATCATGAGAAGGCCGTTTGAGCATCGACCAGTGGGTCTATGGAAGGAAGTCATTCCATATGGCAAGCGAGATGAGAGAGATACTGAAGCTAAGCCACCCTTGAGGATGATGTTTCCCGTATCTGAGATTAAATCGCCGAACATGTAGATATGTTGGAAGGGACAAAGGGTTTCTTAAGCCGTGAAAGCTGTCGGACTGACTATGAGGACGCAGACCAGAATGAAGAGGCAAGGCTTCAAAGTAAAATACATAGTTGCTTGTCTAGCCATTGAAGATATTGAAAAGTTTTGAGAAAACAAAGTATGAAGAAATGAGCGAGGATAATAAACATATATATAATAAGTTGAGAGGAGTTACATGGAGGAATAGGATTTCTCCCGACTCCTAAAGTGAAGAGGAGTTGTAGTTTTGAAGATATGTTATTAATGAATCACTGCACATATAAGGAATCAATATAAGTAATAAAATCCTAGTGGGGATAGGACTGTGGGAACGAGATTTGGCAGTTTCAGTTCGTGTGCACAAATTCAATAGCAACTATTGCTTGAGAAGGTGTTAGATCTTAATAGGAAGTTCGGATCAAGAGAATCACTATTGACAAAATAAACCAACTTATGAAGATTCCTAATTAATTTTTAGTTGTTTTATCAGATTCAAGTTTTTAGTAGTTTTCTTGTTTAGCAACTAATATTTTATTAGGTAATCACTGTGTGATTGTCTCCTATTTAACAAGTCTAGTATATTATAAATAAGAGTAATATGTAGAGTACTATTTCTCATAAAAGAGAATCGGTAGAATTTATTAGACGTCATTGTCGTAAGAATTTTTTCTTTGTTCGTGATATTAACAATAATTTGAGTTGTTTATTCTTTTCTTCTCTTCTACATATTTTGTGTGATTATTTAGTTCCTTCAATTCTATAACCTTACGTGTTATATTAATTGAACTAGTTAATTTGAGTTCTACTTCTACATGACAGTTTGTCTGGTGTGAACTATGCAAAATCTTTTGTTGGTTTACCCACTGGTCGAACCAGGATTTCGATTTCGAGGGGCAATGAATAAAATAATCAATTCTCACCATCTATAATAAAGAGAATATCTATTAAAGGATGAATACAGACTTAGATTTCTTTATCTATACTCTATCTTCAAAAGTACCATGAATTTTGTTAAATTTAGAGTGTAAGTAAAACACTTAGTTATAAGTAATGGTTGAGATACCCTCATCCTTTATAATTTTATGAGTATCACGGTTTCTTGATATGTTTAGAGTGTAATTAAGCATAATGCATCTTAATTTTGAATAGTGGCCTAATGCACTCATTCTTCGTAATTACATTAACTGTATTTCGATAGCGGCAGGAGTTACATGAATAAAACATCCTTCTCCCAGGGCTCATTAAGTTTGGGTTATAGAGGCAATGACCGAATCTAAAACTCTCTACCTACCCATGCACAGTTTCTCCAATTTTTTTTCTATCTAAAATTTTTCATTAGTCACAATGGCAAGATCATCAAACAAAATTAGAATGAAAAAGAAGATTCCCTTGGAACAAAATAGTCCTTACTACTTGTTGCTTGATTTGTGCGAAAAAAGTAGACTAAGATTAGCCAGCAAGTAATTTAAAGACATATGCAATAATACAACGGTGAAGGAAAAGAAGTAAAAAAAAAAAAAAAAGAGCAGAATATCCTCCCTTTTCACACATAGATCTATCAATATTATACACATAGATCTATTCCTACTCCTACATAATGGAGAAGGGAACAAATCCAACTAGATTATAGATAGCGTCATTCGGGAGTTCACATCCACTTTTTTAATCCATTAATTTTAGTTTTGATTTTTTTAACGGGTGTCTAATGACACACGTTAACTCATTTAAATTTCATCCAATCTAATTTATATATGCACATACCAATAATAATTATTTTTTCTTGTATTTATATAATTTTTTAAGGAAAAAATCATCCAAAACGTCCATTACATTTTATTAAATAAATTTTTTTATCCTTCACTTTTAAAATGGTAACTTTACACCCCTTACAAAATTAACTCGGTAAACTTTGGTCTCAATCTAAATTTTCGACCACTTTTTATTATGAATCAATTACGTGACCCATACATGTTGTTGTTACAGAGACAAAAGATTAGATCTCATTTGCAATTAAATAAATGATCCGATTTATATTTATTTTTGCCTCTCAAAAAGTGGAATATGACTCGAACCATATTCATTTTTCTTAAAAAAGTAGGATTTGACATAATTCATATTCATTTTTACTATTAAAAGAGTGAGATTTGACTTTTTTTGTACATAAAAATTATTGCATGTGAATCATATGCAGAATTCATGCTAAAAAGTCATAAAAAAAAATCAATGTAATATGAAAATTATAGGCTGCAAATCAATGTAATCTACCGTCCAAAGGTCATGGGCGCAAGTATACAAGAATAGTTGAAGTCAATATCTTTTCCAAGAAGTGCAAATTCTTCAATCAATTTTTCTATTTGACAATTTGAATCGTCCTACGGCCAAAAGAAACAACTAAATACTCTGTAAGACAAAAAACAGTATGAAAAATAACTTTTCTTGATATGCAAAAAGCTTGCCACCAAGAAATTTCATTTACTGTCATATATTCTATGTCATGTGAAATAGACACACTTAAGCATGATGGATTATTCGGACAATAATTATTTGCCTATTTTAAGAACAAATAACTACTCAATCAGACAAATTTCAGAGTTGTAGTTTTCCAATTCAAATAGTTTTGGATACACTTGTTTCTATCGCAAAAATTCTTTGATTCATGTACTGCATCTTACTATTGTTCATGGAACTAGCACTTACTTGCTATCAGAACTGTACGTTGGCCATTCTCGGGTAATGTTGCCAAGTTCTTTCCACTATGTTGTGCTATGCATAGATATCTTCTTGCATATGGAAATTTTCTACACTCCATAAAAGTACTGCACATCTAGGCGCTAGCATAAATTTATGATTACATGAATATATAAATCGAGTTGCTATTTTCTTTGTATTAGATAACAATCGTATGTGATATTATTTGAAAAGCAATTGATGAAACAAACAAATTTAGAGGAAACAATTAAAATTAGAGCTTTCTATGCATTAATCTTCTTAGATAATGTCTCTTATTTACACAAGAATTTGTAGCAGTCCATGCCATTAATAATTGATACCTAAAAAATTATTAGGCCTAGAATTCACCTCTATTAAGACCAAGCAAGCACACGTACAATAGAAAATAGTCTCCAACTTTATCCATATATCTATCTAGTATCTACCACACGCGCTGCATCTATGACAACATGTCACTGATCAGAAACTCAGACATATGGCGATAAGTTTTCCGTGTCATATGAATTCCATCCCAATATATGTACTTTTCAAGCTCCCAACAAACTGGAACTCCAGGTGTTCCGCACATCCCCAGACCATCATAGTTGTAAATCCCTCCAATCCCACAACATGATTTTAATAAAGATCCTCGGTCGAATCCAAGAAACAGAGCACGAGTAAGAACTGATTCCAAAGCCTCGTAGTAATCAGCGTAGGCAACAACCACCTTTGGATTATCCCTTTTCAACTTTTGCCTCAAAGAATGAAGAGCCCTTTGAAGATAGTTGCTGTGGTACCTTGCAAACTCGTTTACCTCTCTCAGGCATCCCATCCGATCTTATGCTTCTGGATCACGATTCGCAAAACGAGTCAATAAATTAGGATGCAACCAATAGGAAAATTTCCTAAAAGCATAACACGAACAGCCCCAAGTCTAACAACTTCTCTTACCCCATTGATTGTCACACTTACGACGTGAGGAACATAAGTCCTGACTTTTTGTATTGATTTTCCATTGATGAAAGCATGGTTATAATCGTTACCCCCAATTTCTCCCATCATTATTAAGGATCTTTGAAGCCTGGCAGCACAATCCGATGGGGAACCATAGACAGATTTGAGATGATCTTTAAACCATTGCATCTGAGCACTGAGAGGAGTATTGGAGATAGGAACTGGAATATTTCGGGTCTAGAAAAACGAGGTGTCGAGAGCTGTGCTCCCCGCTACAGCAAAGTCTACTCCCAGATTGAATACTCCAATTCTTTTCAGGTAGAGATTCAGGAGAGGAAGATTAAGACCTCTGGAGATGAAATCGATCATGAGAAGGCCGTTTGAGCATCGACCAGTGGGTCAATGGAAGGAAGTCATTCCATATGGCAAGCGAGATGAGGAAGATACTGAAACTAAGCCACCCTTGAGGATTATGTTTCCCGTATCTGAGATTGAATCGCCGAACTGGTAGATATGTTGGAAAGGACAAATGTTTTCTTGAGCCGTGAAAACTGTAAGACTGACTATGAGAAAGCAGACTAGAATGAAGAGGCAAGGTTTCAAAGTAAAATACATAGTTGCTTGTCTAGCCATTGAAGATATCGACAAGTTTTGAGAAAACAAAGTATGAAGAAATCAGCGAGGATAATAAACTTATATAGAATAAGTTGAGAGGAGTTACATAGAGGAATAGGATTTCTCCCGACTCCTAAAGTGAAGAGGAGTTATAGTTTTGAAGATATGTTATTAATGAATCACTGCACATATAAGGCATCAATATAAGCAAAAAAATCCTAGTTGGGATAGGACTGTGGGAACGAGATTTGGCCGCTTCAGTTCGTGTGCACAAATTCAATAGCAACTATTGCTTGAGAAGGTGTTAGAACTTAATAGGAAGTTCGGATCAAGAGAATCACTATTGACAAAATAAACCAACTTATGAAGATTTCTAATTAATTTTTAGTTGTTTTATCAGATTCAAGTTTTTAGTAGTTTTCCTGTTTAGCAACTAATATTTTATTAGGTAATTACATGTGTGATTGTCTCTTATTTAACAAGTCTTGTAGATTATAAATAAGAGTAATAGGTAGAGTACTATTTCTCAAAAAAGAGAATCGGTAGAATTTGTTAGACGTCATTGTCGTAAGAATTTTTTCTTTGTAACAATAATTTGAATTGTTTATTCTTTTCTTCTCTTCTACATATTTTGTGTGATTATTTAGTTCCTTCAATTCTATAACCTTACATGTTATATTAATTGAACTAGTTAATTTGAGTTCTACTTCTACATGACAGTTTGTCTGGTGTGAACTATGCAAAATCTTTTATTGGTTTACCCACTGGTCGAACCAAGATTTCGATTTCGAGGGGCAATGAATAAAATAACCAATTCTCACCACCAATAATAAAGAGGATATCCATTAAAGGATGAATACAGATTTAGATCTCTTTATCTATACTCTATCTTCAAAAGTACCATGAATTTTGTTAAATTTAGAGTGTAAGTAAAACTCTCAGTTATAAGTAATGGTTGAGATACGCTCATCCTTTATAATTTTATGAGTATCATGGTTTCTCGATATGTTTAGAGTGTAATTAAGCATAATGCATCTTAATTTTGAATAGTGGCCTAATGAACTCTTCCTTCATAATTACATTAGCTGTATTTCGATAGCTGCAGGAGTTACATGAATAAAACATCCTTCTCCCAGGCCTGATTAAGTTTGGGTTATAGAGACAATGACCCAATCTAAAACTCTCTACCTACCCATGCACAGTTTCTCCAATTTTTTTTCTATCTAAAATTTTTCATTAGTCACAATGGCAAGATCATCAAACAAAATTAGAATGAAAAAGAAGGTTCCCTTGGAACAAAATAGTCCTTGCTACTTGTTGCTTGATTTGTGTGAAAAAAGTAGACTAAGATTAGCCAGCAAGTAATTTAAAGACATATGCAATAATACCACGGTGAAGGAAAAGAAGTTTAAAAAAAAAGAGCATAATATCCTCCCTTTTCACACATAGATCTATAAATAATATACATATAGATCTATTCCTACTCCTACATAATGGAGAAGGGGACAAATCCAACTAGATTATAGATAGCGTCATTCGAGAGTTCACATCCACTTTTTTAATCCATTAATTTTAGTTTTGATTTTTTTTAACGGGTGTTTAATGACACACGTTAACTCATTTAAATTTCATCCAATCTAATTTATATATGCACATACTAATAATAATTATTTTTTCTTGTATTTATATAATTTTTTATGGAAAAAATAATCCAAAACGTCCTTTACATTTTATAAAATGAATTTTTTTGTTCTTTACTTTTAAAATAGTAACTTTACACCCCTTACAAAATTAACTCGGTAAACTTTGGTCTCTGTCTAAGTTTTCAACTATTTTTTATTATGAATCCATTACGTGACCCATACATGTTATTTTTTCAGAGACAAAAGATTAGATCTCATTTGCAATTAAATAAATGATCCGATTTATATTTATTTTTGCCCCTCAAAAAGTGGAATATGACTTGAACCATATTCATTTTTCTTAAAAAAGCTGGATTTGACCAAATTCATATTCATTTTTGCCATTAAAAGAGAGAGATTTGACTTTTTTGTACATAAAAATTATTGCATGTGAATCATATGCTGAATTCATGCTAAAAAGTCATCGAAAACTTAGGTTGAAACCAAATTTTTGCGAATGTAATCCAAAATCAATGTAATATGAAAATTATAGGCTGCAAATCAATGTAATCTGCCGTCCAAAGGTCACGGGTGCATGTATACAAGAATAGTTGAAATTAGTATCATTTTCAAGAAGTGCAAATTATTCAATCAATTTTTCCGTTTGATAATTTGAATCGTCCTACGGCCGAAAGAAACAACTAAATGCTCTGTAAGACAGAAAACAGTATGAAAAATAACTTTCCTTGATATGCAAAAAGCTTGCCACCAAGAATTTTCATTTACTGTCATATATTCTATGTCATGTGAAATAGACACACTTAAGCATGATAGATCATTCGGACAATGATTATTAGCCTGTTTTAAAAACAAAAAACTACTCAATCAGACAAGTTTCAGAGTTGTAGTTTTCCAATTCAATTAGCTTTGGATACACTTGTTTCTGTCGCAAAAATTCTTTGGTTCATATACTGCATCCTACTATTATTCATGGAACTAGCACTTACTTGCTATCAGAACTGTACGTTGGCCATTCTCGGGGTAATGTCGCCAAGTTCTTTTCACTATGTTGTGCTATGCATAAATATCTTCTTGCATATGAAAATTTTCTACACTCCACAAAAGTACTGCATGTCTAGCATAAATTTATGATTACATGAATATATAAACCGAGTTGTTATTTTCTTTGTATTAGATAACAATCATATGTGATATTATTTGTAAAGCAACTGATGAAACAAACAAATTTAGAGGAAACAACTGAAATTAGAGCTTCCTATGCATTAATCTTATTAGATAATGTCTCTTATTTACACAAGAATTTGTAGCAGTCCATGCCATTAATCATTGATACCTAACAAATTATTAGGCTTAGAATTCACCTCTATTAAGACCAAGAAACCACACGTACAACAGAAAATAGTCTCCAACTTTATCCATATATCTATCTAGTATCTACCACACGCGCTACATCTTTGACAACATGTCACTGATTAGAAACTCAGACATATGGCGATAAGTTTTATGTGTCATATGAATTCCATCCCAATGTATGTACTTTTCAGGCTCCCGACAAACTGGAACTCCAGGTGTTCCGCACATCCTCCGACCATCATAGTTGTAAATCCCTCCAATCCCACAACATGATTTTAATAAAAATTCTCGGTCGAATCCAAGAAACAGAGCACGAGCAAGAACTGATTCCAAAGCCCCATAGTAATCAGCGTAGACAACAACCACGTTTGGATTATCCCTTTTCAACATTTGCCTCAAATTATGAAGAGCCCTTTGAAGATAGTAGTTGTGGTACCTTGCAAACTCGTTTACCTCTCTCAGGCATCCCATCTGATCGTATGCTTATGGATCACGATTCGCAAAACTAGTCAAATAAATTAGGATGCAACCAATAGGAAATTTTTTTGGAAGTACAACACGAACAGTCCCAAGTCTAACAACTTCTCTTACCCCATTGATTGTCGCACTTACGACGTGAGAAACATAAGTCCCGATCTCTTGTATTGATTTTCCATTGAAAAAAGCATGGTTATAATCATTACCCCCGATTTCTCCCATCATTATTAAGGATCTTTGAAGTCTAGCTGCACAATCCGATGGGGAACGGCAGACGGATTTGAGATGATCTTTAAACCATTGCATCTGAGCACTGAGAAGAGTATTGGAGATAGGAACTAGAACATTTCGGGTCTGGAAAAATGAGGTGTCGAGAGCTGTACTCCCCGCTACAGCAAAGTCTACTCCCTGATTGAATACTCCATTTCTTTTCAAGTAGGGATCCAGAAGAGGAAGATTAAGAGCTCTGGAGATGAAGTCGATCATGAGAAGGCCGTTTGACCATCGACTAGTGGGTCTATGGAAGGAAGTCATTCCATATGGCAAGCGAGATGAGGGAGATACTGAAGCTAAGCCACCCTTGAGGATGATGTTTCCCGTATCTGAGATTGAATAGCCGAACAGGTAGATATGTTGGAAGGGACACAGGGTTTCTTAAGCCGTGAAAGCTGTAGGACTGACTATGAGGACGCAGACCAGAATGAAGAGGCAAGATTTCAAAGTAAAATACATAGTTGCTTGTCTAGCCATTGAAGATATCGAAAAGTTTTGAGAAAACAAAGTATGAAAA